GCTTGAATCGAATACCTATTGGTTCCTCTATGTCTACTTCAGCCATATAAGGAAGTCTCTTATGGTTGGTCATAGACCATTTAAGTTAGTATTAGTGCATGAATACACATAGGTTATTATATCTATGTATGGACATCTTAACACCACTGCACTCTCCCAAGGGAGGTATATTGTACTCTAAATAAATTAGAAAGAAGAAATGCAGAAATTTATTAATATGTTTCATTTATTATTAATATTTTCATTGTTTATTTAGAAGAATGGCATTTTTAAATCAAGAGAATTTGAGGGAAATCAATTTTAGCTGGCCTCCTAAAAGAAACAAGCAACCTAAATAAACCTTCTTTATTTACCTGTCCAGGTGTTTATCGTACACACTTTGTTACTTTCCTCTGCTGTTCCATTCTTTCTTTTAGAATTATACATAATATTAAAGTAAAAAATAATAATACGCACAGAAAATCTAAAGCATACATTTGGTTTTCTGTGCTACAAAATTGATTCTTGGAATAAAGCAATAATTCATTTATTTAACACAATACTGCTAATAGTGTGAGAACCTCACTATTGTTATATAAATACACACCAAAAATAAATTAATCTACAAAACTAAATACGGTAAAACTAGGTGCCTAGCGATATTACTTTGCACTTAAGTCCATACAAGTGAAAGGCATGATAACTATACATGTTCATTCAAATTTATGTATTGTTACTAAATATTACCTAACGACTGTGTATTTTGTACTTACAAGCTGAATGAAAGAGATGCTAAAAGCTTACCGAGTTCTATTTTTGCTGTCACTATAAGTTTACTGTAACCATATAGTCGTAACTTATAGTTTTGTAGTTTGAATGAACGATCAACAAATCAGCAGGACCATAATTCACATAATAACATTATTAGTAGTGTATTCGTGTAATAATATGCCATAGTAACTTGTGCATGATTTTAGCAAATCTGATAACCAAGTAGAGACATTAGCTGAGGCGACTAAAACAAAGCGTGGATTGACAAACGTTGTTGTACGTAATTTTAACAACATGTTTAACAAAGGAAAACAAATTGATCGTGGGACTTTTCGTTGTTGAAGCTTTAGGAGTCCTCCACCCCCTGTGAAGCCAAAACCACAGGCCAGTTCCAATCCAGCACCTGATCCGAATCTGGTTATCGCACAGGCCCTGAATCAGAATCCCGAAGCTATGAAGTCGTAGGTTTCATTTTTATTTACATTCTTTTTATATTTATTTTTAATTCTTTTTCGTTGCATGAGCATCTTTTTGTAGGGTTATATTTTTTGGATATGATATTTTTGGTGTGTAGGTTTTTAATCATGTTTTTTCGTTCTATTTTTCCCCGAGTATTATGATTGATGCTTATATAAAAATTGTGTACGCATGTGCAAATTTAGTCTGTATTGTGAATAATTAAATATTACATTTATGCGCAGTATGATTTATGTATGTATATATTTTATAAATATATTTATGTACATTTTAAATTATTTGTATAATGGAAATTTGTGTGAAAGTAAGGCTATGTTATGTTAAGGTAGGGGTTGCAAGTAAAAGAGATATTAAAGCACCAAGAGAATTTTTTTTCTTAATATACCACCCACCCAAACATTTTTTTTTCTCTCTGATCAGTGTTGTGTTAGTATTTTTCAAAGCTATGATTGTTGTATGTTGAGTATGTGAGTGTGCTAATTATGAGTTTATTTCCAAATATAATAATTTATCATTTTTTTCTTTAATGTACACAATATAAACTTGTTATCATAAACTTTGGTAGCTACTGACTGTTTTAAAAATTAATGATTTAGTTATGTAATTCTTTCTTCCTTAGATTACAAACATTTGTAATGTCAAAACTGTTGTGGTACATTGAAATAAAAGTTTATTTCCAGTAGAATAATAATATAAAAATATATAAAAATAATATTAAGGATTAAAATATTTACTAGTTCATTACAAATTTTAATAATTTAAATTTACAACTCATAAGAAGAATAATAAATTTACTAATAATTTTATTTATTTAATAAACATTCTGTTTTAGTGGGTCTTATTTAATATAGCGGGTTATCCTCTGTTATGCATTTTATCTCATTGTCAATGTTTTGCATTTGGGTAAAAAAAAAAAAATTAAATTTATACTTTGTTATATTGAATGAATAACAATAAATATACTTAAATATAATACTTATATTTCAACACTAAATAAAATGTATACATGTTGTGTTTGACTATAGTAACCATGTGTTTTGTTGGTCAGTGTAAAGCATTTGTAGTTGTAGGTACAGTAGCATGTGGGCGCTGTTGAGAGCTCTGTATAACAGAATGCATGAATAGTTGTCCACCACGTCAAATCCTGCAAAATTGAAAACAAAATTATTTGTAAATATGCGCCAAAATTTGTACATCATAATTGTTTTATGTGTGCATCATATTTTGTTGTGATGCCATGTACATCCCCATTGATTAAATCCTGTTCAACTAAACAGACAATAAAAGTTTGAATACATTTTTTAAGAACTAGAGGATTGGCCAAGTTTGAAGGGAATAAGAAAGGGGCAAAATTTTGTTTGATCAGATAAATCTGAAGTAAGAATACAGGGTCAGATAAAGTCACATCAAACATTGTCTGATGACAATCAAGTTTATGATTCAGTGGTGGTCTAAAAAGGAGAAGGGTGCAATGTTGTGCCATGGGTCAAAATTATATTCTATAACATATATTATAAAACAGCAGCACTCACTCTATATTTGTGATACCCTGGACGTGATAATAAATTAGATGTAGAATATATCTTGTGAAATTTGCTGTATGGAGAATGCAACTATATATTTTGTATGTATTTATAGAACGGAATGATAGAATATATAGAACTGTGAATTGACTCAATCATAGATAAAATTTACTTATGAAGCAAAAATAAATAAATAAATATTGTATTTTTGTGTTTTATTTTAAGTAATTAATTTGTATTTTGATATTTTTAATAAACGTTGTGATTATATTTCTGAATACTGAATATTTAAAGTTAAGCTTTTTTCAATTGTATTTTATTTTAAGTAATTAATTTGTATTTATTAATGTGCTTTCATTTAATATTGTTTATTGAATATTTAGTTGCTTTTATTTTGATTATAAAATAATACAAATTAATAATGTATCAAATAATCATTTTGTAAACAAATTATCTAAAGTATAGATATATTCAAATTATGAATTATATTTGGAATGCATGACTGCACAGTTGTTATTGTCTCCTAAGCATCTTTAGGTTTTTACACAACTTGTGTTATGTAAGTTCTTTAGACGTGTGCTCATTTCCATTAGTAAAGAAGCCAGTTTAAACTTTAATCAAATGTTTATTTTTAGAGTGCTCATTCAATAATGGACTTTGTAATTTTGACATAAAAATTTACAGTATCTTGTTTGAAATTTTGTTTCTAAATTTATTTTTACAAACTGCTCATACATTTGAATTATTTTAGATCAATATTTGTTCTTTAAAAATCGGTGGTTCTTTTTTTTTTTTTTTTTTTTTAATGTGAAAATATAAATTTTGCCACCATTATTAAATTTTAAAAACACAAATCCGAATTTGAATCATTTGATTTGAAATTTTATCACTTTTGTGAATCATCTGATTGATTTATTTGAGTTTTGCATTCAAAATATGTTCATTCCTTTCAGTGTTTGTGGCATCAAGCCCGTGTTTACCGTTCAAAGCAAAGTTTCCCATCAGATCCCTTGGGAAAAGGAAGGTCCATCATCGCCGCGGTAATGACAACAAACAAAAACAACACGTACCACGTAGTCAAATCCTCATATTGTATATGCATGTATGCGTGTTACATTAAGACCTTTTTAGGCTGCTTGTGTTGTGTAGTTTTATTGTCCATTTTAGGTGTGCAAGTTCGTAGGATTAATTTTAGAGTAACACTTTTTATATATGATGTTCAGATATTTACCACATACGTGTTTGCTTACGTGCGCACTAATGACACTGTATCAAAGCATGCAAACGTGAACATTTCACATGTGAAGAATTGTGTCAGGTCAGTTCAACTGTACTCCCAACCCATTCCACTTATCACCCACTAACACTATGTGTGTTTCAGAACCATTTTCATCAGTCCTGTCAGTGCTTTTGTGGTTTTCAATGTTCACATTAAAAGTATCATAGGTAACAAAGTTATATTTAAAGTATTTAAATGGGGTGTTACTACAAGTATACGCTTTTTGAAACTAAGTTTCTTGTGGTGTGTGTGATATTTATTTCTACTGATGAAGTTGCATTTTGAATTTTGAATTTGCATAACGGTTTTCAATCCTTCGTCTGCCTTTGATTGTGTTTGATTATTTCAGACTCACCAAATTTACAAAATATATAGGTTGACTGATGTTTGGTTAACCATTTTCTGAGACTACAAACTGTTATTCATTTGACAAAAGACATGGCATATGTATCGTAAATTTCTTAAATCTTCCATCTTCCATTTTGAATAGTGTCTATAAGTGCTGAGGTGTTTTTACATTTGGTCTAAAAAACATAATTTTATTGGAAGCAATAAACTTTTATTGAATTAAATTTTCTATTAGTTTTTACTTCGCCTCAAACATCAAATGATAGTACAGTACAATGGTGTAAAGTTTTTCAGAGTGGTGGTTTAAATGTTCGTTATTTTAGTGGGGATAGTTGCCTTTGTGTGGATGTTTGTATGGGGTGGTGTGTATGCGTATGTTTTTGTGCGAGTGTACGTTTATTTCCATTTCTGTTCATCTTCATTTCATTGTTCATATACACATTGTCAAACGTAAAATATCATTATTAATCAATCATTCCACCATAAAAAAAAAATAATAATGAGACTAAAGAGAGAAAAAATATTGGTCCAAGCATTATTACAAGTGTTTATAATTATGTTTTTTTAACCATACACACAAATAACAGACTACTAAATTGAAAATAAGCAGGGAAAATGTTGAGATAAAGAGTGCTTACATAGGAGCCTATACTCTGCTGAATTCAAAAAAATATCTTACCATTAATATTAACAATTAGGAAGTTAGGATGTTCAATTCAGGGATTCAGAAATGCTCCTAAACTCTTAACAATTCATATTTTAAATATATGTAGAGACTCAATATGTACAATGCATTTTATACATGTTAATTATAATTACTGTTTATTATCATTTTTGGGTTTTTTTTTAATTAAGAATTTTGTTTGTAAAGTAATACAATTACTCATTCCTTGATCTAATTTAAAAATTGTATTTATTTTTATATTTTGTTTGCTTACTCACTGTTTTTAATTAATCATTAATTTTACAGAATCGCTTTGTCTTCATGTTGAATGATTGGGTTTTCATTGTATTATAAATTGGTGTTTAATCATATTTAATTTGGGAAATAATTTATGTCGATCATGGATTATGTATTTAGAATTTAGAAATCTTTGTGGTGTTTTTAATTTTTTCAACTGCATGGTATTTCTGGCATGTTTATTCCAGTATTGACTATGATGATCTTCCGCCGCCTCCGTCACCTACTGAATTCCAACCATACGACGCCTCATCAGAGCAAAATGACTTTCCAGCGCCACCGCCCCCTCCTCCTCCTCCCCCAGGTCCGGAATTCACCATAAACGTTGCCAGACCTATGGGGCTAGAGATGAAGCGAAGCCCACCTCCGGATGTTCCGGTTTATAAAGCTCCGGGGTAAAAATTAAACCAACATACTTGCATTCAGTATAGCTTCACATATAATTTACTAACATCTAACTTTCGTACAATATCAATGTTTAATACAAAACCAATTCATGTCATTTTGATTGAATAATTAATTTGTTTATAAAGCATTAAAAAAAAAAATTTACAAAAAAAATAGCCTGAAACTTTGGTTTTGTATCTTATATACTGCAAATTTGTGGTTGTACATTGAACTTAATACCATCACATATTGTCACATTACCTTTAACTCTTTTTCAATCTTTCCACCTTTCCACCTCTCTGTGGATCTCATTCCCTTATCCTTCTATTCTTCATTGTTGTTCAGTTTATATTTAATTATGAAAATACTACAAATATGATACATATTATAATAGCTCATCAGCTAACCTAAATACTGTACCTGTTTAAAGGTGATAATTGCATCTGTTTGCAAAAATCAAAATAGATAGTTGGTAAATTTATTGCATAATGTAAAACATATTTACAAAAAATTCAAATACAGTAATTATTAACATAGTTTGGAGTAAATTTATCATATTTGAAAATGAGCTGAACAGAAATATTATGCATAAAACAGCTGCTCTATATTGCATGTATTTACACTTATTTTTACGTTGTTGTTGTCCTCGTCTTAATATCTTCATCACATCACAGCTCATTTCATGTGTTTCAACCATCTTTATCTTGCGTGTTAATCATCAAGAAAAAATTGTTAGTTTTAAAATACATTTCAAATAGAGTACATTCCATGCAAAACAGATGAAATATGAACAAACAAATTTCCATGCCGTAGATGAATAAAGTTTTACCTTACCTTAAGAGTTGAGACATGTAGTTAATGGTGAAGTAATTACTAGTGTGTTGCTTGATTGTTGTTGTTGACACCATTTCACCAAAATGTGTACTCAAGTATGTAATAGAAAGTAAGTATAAATTCAAAAATACAAAACCTAGCATTAAACTAGACATGAATTAAACACTTTGTTAGACCATGGAGGTATAATGGTTAGACTGCTAAATACCAAGTAAGATATTTGTAAACACTATGTTAGATATTCCTAGATATGAAGTTCAACCATACAGAACATTAACCGAAAGGTCCACTGATTATTCTAAGATAAGATAGTATAATACATATTCCAAGTATAAAAAAGAATGCACATCATCGTGTCGGGATACAATATTTCAACATTAATTATGTCCCTGATGATGACATAATTAATGTCGAAATATTGAATCCAGACACAATGGCGTGCATTTCGATAATTGGAGTATGTATTATATTATCTTATATTGAACATTGTTAGACACAGTTTTACACTAGCTTAATCACTATGTTAGCCACTATTAAACGCTATGTTAGCCAATATTAAATAAGTATGTTAGATTGCTAAATACCAATTAAGATATCTGTAAACTCTATGTTAGATGTTCCTAAATATAAAGTTTGATATAATTGAACATTGTTAGACATAGTTATACACTAAAAAAATAGTCACTATTAAATACTATGCTATACACTATTAAACACTAAATTAAACACTATGTTTACTATTATTACTAAATACCAAGCTCGATGTCACAAAATACTAAGCTGAACATCATTAGATGCTAAAGCTTTTTTAACCCAAAATAATTTAGAAACTAATTTTAGTGTGCTGTTAAGAAATCTCATTTTCTCAACCTGTAGAACCATGCTAGAATATCTAGATAAATCTATTTTTGCATGATAAAAATTCATTAAAGTAAAATGTATATAAAATGATAAATATGAATAGGCAATTATCATAGTTGCCAAGAAATTTATGGTAAGTACAGTAGACATAAATATGATTGATATTACGTATTACCTATTTTACGTTTTGCATTATAGCCTGTTTATTATTTTCTCTACATTGATTTTATTATGCAAAAAAAATAAACAATGGGTAACATTTCCTGAGGAAATGTAGAATAAAATAATATTGGGCCCTCGGTAGAACAGTATTATTATTTTTAATGAATGAAAATTGTATATAATTAATGACACCCAAAATAGTTTGTCTAGCAAAATTTGAAAATGAAATAAATAAATAAATAATTGAAACAAGATAATTGGTATGAATAATAACCTGTGACCTTGAATACCACAAAGGAAGTTATGACAGATACAGAAATGCATCACATCCTCTACAATGATACCAAGGTTCTGTCATAGCATATCTCACCTTCTTCAGGGACTACCAGCCAAACCTTAAATTTTTCATATATTTCTTTGCTTTGTTTATTTTATCTCATCGGGTTGCTTGTGCACTCACTCACTCTCTGTTTACCTTGCTCTCCGCACTTGATTTCTCTCCAGCGAGGACCAGCCTGAAAGGATTAAAGTGATGTTTCTGCCTGACAGTGGGTAACTACAGACGCTTTTGCTTGTCTCATATTTTCTTTGTAATGTCTTGTGTTTATGTAGCCAATGTAGGCCTACCATAGAAGATCAGGCTTGTCGTTAAATGCTAGGCCTACAGATTGTACCTTTATGTTTGTGTATTTGCTATTCTGTCGCATTGGGTTGCTCTGCTTTTTACTTATTCAGTGGTCGCTTTATTTATGTTGTAATTTTTAAGATATATTTGTTGTATTGTACTGTAGATTAATTGAGATTAAACAATTATAAGACTTCTGCAGTTACTGATAAGAAATTCAGTTGAAGTTTAATAGCTTGATGGTTAAAGTGCTGGCTTTCCAATATCAATGCCCTGGGTTCAGTGCTTGTTATGGTACAGTATTTTATCTCACGACCAAAAACCAATTTACATCGTAAGACTCACAATGAGACTTGGTTAATTAAGTTCCCTGCTGGACATATCATTGGGCCTAAGAGAAAATTAGAATAAAATTTTTTAAATATTAAATGAAAAATAAAATTTTCAAAAATTTGTGTAGAGTGATGCGAAGCTTAGATCAAAAACAGTAGTGACAAATTAATTTGCCAGTGATGCTTCTGCGATTGTCTTCTTTTTTCACCTACATCTTTTTTTCTTGTTTTTAAGTTTAAGCATATAACTATCAATTAAATTCTTTTAATATTATTTTTGCACTTGGTACATCTGACTAATCCCCTTTTTTGAGAATGAATTTACCATTTACTATGTTTTATTTTTTAAATAAATTATCTTGTGATATGCTTATTAACCAATAAGACTTAAAGGTTTAATTCCGATCTGATACTGTATAAACCTTACCGGTTTAATCCTGACTTGATAGAATTATAAATTGGTTTAATCCTGTGCTGGTTTAATCCTGACTTGGTTAAATCCTACCCTGATTTAATCTTAATCTGGTTTATTCCTGATTGGGATTAATTCTTACATAGTTTAAACCTGAGCTGGTTTATTCCTGATCTGGTTTAATCCTTGATTGAATCTGAAACTGGTGTAAACATTGCAGGTTTAATCCTGACCTGGTTTAAACATGTGCTGGTTTAATCAAATTTTAATCTGGTTTAATCCTAACCTGATTTAATCTTACTGGTTTAAGCCTGAATTTTATGTTTAAAAAAAATATAAATTCTGATTATTTATAATCACCCTGATTTAAATTTAATGAATTTCTAAGCTTTGGTAAGGTAGGTCATAGACACATGGAAATTTTATTAAGGGACATGTTAATACCACAATGTTCAAATTTTGTGCAAGGGATTTAGATGAACCTCATATGTAGTTATAATTCAAATTGTGCAGTAATTTATAGAATGTTTACCTAAAATGCAGTAAAAGAATTATCTGAATTGTTTGAGATTTTATGTGGGTATTATCAAAATTTTAAGATTAAATTTTTAAAGCAATAATCCTACCAATTGTAATTGATGTTATGCATAGATCTAAAGAATTTTATTGTTATAAGAAATTATCTTATTATTAATGTTATTGTGGGGATTATACTTTTTTGATGCACATTGTAATACATCGGCTTCTATTTGTGGGTTATTTACATAATTTTGTTTTTACTTCTATTCCACAGCAAAAAGTCCACACCAAGCCAAATTGCACAGCAGAGCCGCATGGCCAAGAATGCCCAGCCAAAAGCGTTCTCACCGTCACCACAGGCATACACCCCATCGCCACAGGCATACACTCCTCCACGACAGGCCAATCGTACGTACAATATTCCATCATCTTAGGTCTGTAATGATTATGAATACTCATGTTCTCGAGCTGTAGTAGTGGTTGATTGCCAATTTTTTGTTCATGGATATTTGTTGAAGTAGTGGACTGCACTTGAATAGGTTGGTGGTTAAGGTGCTCACCTTCTAACCCAGGGTCCTTGGTTCAAATCCTCTCAGATTTCAGGATTTTTTCTACACTCCATAAGTCTTGTTATGAGACTAGTTTATGTAGAGCATCATGTCTGCTGTATAGGTTTGTCATATGAAGGGATTGCCACCAATCTAATAGGGCAGTGATTATGTCACTATTGGTAATCCTTGGCAATGTGCTTAAAGGAGTAAAGTTAATGAAATAAAAAAAGATTACATTCTGCATTCATAATTTTCATTTTATATGTAAAAACTGAAAATATTTGGAAAAACAAGCAAACATAAAAATGCAAACTCTCAGCTTAGTTTTGAATTTTTTTTTTCCAAAGCCCCACAAGCACCTGGTGACCCAGTTTTGCCTACAGTACCTGTGTTTAGACCGAGTCAACCCAAAGCCCCATCAGGCCCAGCAGCCCCTGCCCCATTTTCCACAGTTCCTAGGCCTGCCAACCCAGGTGTTCCTAAGGCCACCCCAGCTGGCACCCGTACACCAACATGCGAGGGATGCGGACAGATAATCAGGTAAGCAATGAATTGTGGGTACCATTTAATACTTTACTATTTATCTACATACTATAATTTTAGCAATTAAAACAGTTAATTTATATTTATCTGCTGGTGTACTAAAATGTGATATCCATATTTCATTTCATTTATTCGACCAATACACATTTAAAAAAGGTACAGTACAACAAAAATTTTGGTCAGGGGCAGCTTAAGCAAAAAAAAATTTTTTTTTTTAAATAAAATAAATAAAAAATAAATATAAAAGTAATTATTATATTAGATGAGTGCTGACTTATGTATATAATTTTAGATTCAAATTTAATTTTTCTTAAGCATTTCCTGTGTGAATCAGACCACATTTTGAATAATTTTTTGGTTTCTGAATATTTCAATAGAGGGCCATTTGTATCAGCTGTTGGCAAAAATTGGCATCCAGAACATTTTGTCTGCGCTCACTGCCACGAACCCTTACAAAATATTGGATTTGTTGAAGAAAAGGGTAAAATCTACTGCGAGAAGGACTACACCAACCTGTACGCTCCTAAATGCAGCAAGTGTATGAAGAGTGTAGCTGGGGTAAGGATAATTTATTATTTGACACCCTCAAACATGGAAAGTAAACCTGTTTTCTTTTTTAACTGACAACCACCCAAACAAGGCTTGTTCACTGTTTAAACACGATCACTGCTAGGGACAGCCGGATCCAGATATGTCCGAAAAGGAGTGGCCAATCGAGACAGTTTTGGGCGCTCATTTTTTTCTTTTCTTTTTCTCTTTTTTTTTTTTTTTTGACTTTCCAACAAGGGTGGAGGAGAGACGTGAGTTCTCTTCCGACAGGGTTTACTCATGGTGCCAAGTTCACGTCCAAACTTGTCTAAAGCCTGCTTTTTTTTTAATCGCTACACTGTCCTGTAGTATTTTCAGTGCAATCGTTGTACTGCATAGCATTCCACGACGCAATCGAGAATGCTCCCCTAATTCGACTGACCAATCGGCATCACAAAAGCTGTCGGCGAGAGCATGTAGCAATTGTATGGAAACCAAGGTTAACATACCACTATTGCACTTTAACTCACTGGCGGTAGTCGCCAGAACACAAACTCTCGCCCTGGTGGTTTATGGAAGGACCTGGAAAAAAATGATCTAAAAATAACTATTGTATGTTTGTTCGTGTTTCACTATTGTTGATGGAAATGTTTTTCATTATGGTGGCACCTTTTATGCCTTGGGATGGAACTATAAGATAATGCTTAGCACTCAATGTGTCGGTAGGAGATTCATTGAGTGATTTATGTATTTGATTGCATGTATGATTGATTGATTGATATATATATTGATTAATTAATTTCATCAATTATTGATTGATTTAATGATTGAGTAATTTATTTACAGTGCATGGTTCAATTTATTCCTCAGAAATGTGTAAATGCCCTTGGTGGTCAGTTCCATCCAGAATGCTTCGTTTGCTTCCACTGCAACCAGCCGATATCAGGAAACAGCTTCCACACAAATGAAGGGAAGGTTTACTGTACTGCAGGTAAGATTTTGTATCTCTATCACCTTATTCCCACTGCTGTATCCATCCTCCCCACTTTCCATTGTGCATGCCCCAACTCTATAGTAGCCCCATCTTACAAATATGACCACCCCCCCCCACCCCATCAATTCTTCTAGATATAGTACTTCCATTAAAGGCCAAAGAATTTTGTCCATTTTATCCATATCCATTAATCTCTGCCTCTAATAGTAATGGTAATGGTTGAAGACATATAGCTATAGGTTTTTAGTGCCTACTGTAATCTTTTTTCTATATGCAGAGCTCTGTTTTTTTGTATCTCTAATCTTAATATTTACAGTAGTGTAAAATATAATTAGTCTTGTATGCCCTGGTAAGTAATTAACATTTTGGCAATTCTGTCTACTTTGTGTGGGACTATATTTCATCTTTATAGTCTATAAACTATAAATTTTGTCTTGTAATTATCTTTATAAAATACATCACATGAGTGGAAAATGATATGCAAGTACCTGTAAATATAACTTTTATTTACTGTGTTTTATTTTGTTTTTATTAAATTTGTTGACCTCCTCAGATTATAACGCCTTGTTCTCGACCACCTGCGCATCTTGTATGTTTGCGATAGAACCCGGCGATGAGTGGCTAGAGGCCCTTGGTACCAGCTGGCATTCAAACTGTTTCAACTGTAATGTAAGTCAACCAATAATATTCAAGTTCTATCAATAACAGGGGTTCCAAGTCTCACGCAAGTCTTCCAGAAAGCAGGAAAGCCTTACGCCTACTCCTGCAAGCAGGCAAAAATATCCCAGAACTTCTAACCCATCTTCTGCAAATTCATGATATTTGCATGCTTTCTCTGTATTATCAAGTCAGCTTGCGAGGATATCACCAGTTGCAGCAAATCAAAATTAGTATTGAAAATGTTTCCATTGTTACAACGTTTTAAATTTTTATATATTTATAATATAATTTTTTGTTAGAATAGTTTCATCCGGTTTGAATATGATATTGTAAATTGAAATTCGTTTTTACTCAACCACAATAATATATTATGCGTACTTGCGACGTTTCATGTGCTTTCAGCAACACTTCGACAGCTGAAGGCACACGAAACGTCGCAAGTACGTATAATATATTATTGTGGATTAGTAAAAACAAATTTCAATTTACTATAATATAATTTATTAGTTTCCAATATAAATTATAAATATCTGCAATCAATAACATATGTTTGGAGGTTAGTGGGACATTTGGGTCCTATTGGGCAGGTTGGGGGCATTTTCTTACCTTTTTTGAGGGTTCAAGAAGAAATGATTCCATTTTAATCTCTTATCTAATTGATTTCACCCTTGGTCGGAGATTTTTTGGCAGCTTTGGAGGAGGGAGCCTTCTTCCCTGAATTAATCACTGTTATCCATACACTAATTTTAAATGTTATCCCCAATGTGGAAGGCATACATATCCAGTACTTATTTCCTTTGCATCCAGCTGCTATTTAACTAAAAAATGTTTTTTGTTTATCTTTATTACCTAGGCTTGTCAAGTCAACCTCGAAGGTCATGGATTTTATGCTAAGAATGGAAAGCCATACTGCCCTCAACATGCATAAAAAAATATATGAAAATACACTAAAAACCAGGCAACCAATCTGTTTGGTTCATTGCACACAATTTACCAACAGACGGCAAGTAACGTGTATTTTAGTGAAGAGCTGATGTGTGATGGCTTTGTCCATTTCGTTGCCACTTGCGCAATTTATTCTTTTAGGTTTAATGAAATTTGATAAACAGTCTTCCACAATTTAGTATAAACAATTTATTTTTGTGCAAAGCACCCCCAGTCCAAAATTTGATGCTTTTATTCTTCTACAGAATGAAAAAATAATTTTATCAAAAAATATAGTTATTATATGACTTCTATTGAAATTATTACTTTTATAAATTGTGTAGTTGTATTTTTGTGTTAGTGTAACTTATAGAAGAAATTCCTATTCATGTACATCTTATAAAATTGAAATATTTGCCATTAATAATTTAGGTGTTGCTTTCCCAGACAATGTAATGGTTGATAAATTATTCAGTATTACAAAGCATTTTGAGTAATTAGATTTACTGTACAGGTATCCCAGTAATAAAGTACAGTATAGTGAAAATATTTTTCTGAGAACATACTAAATATACAACATTAATTAACATTAATTCAATAACATGCTACTATGTTTTAAATTACATTCACTCCTAAAATCATGTTACATTTACAGTGTAATGGAATATTGCATTTCTGTAGTGATTATATTCTTAATGTAAGCATAATTTGGATTGAGCAAAAAAAAAAGGTATATATAAAATAACATTTAAGCCGCGTTCACACCATATAGATTTGTTTGTGACAAATTTTATGTAATTTGCCCATGTGTGGGTATGATGTTACTGTTATTCATCATATGAAATTTAATAGTGGGGACAGACAATATCAAAATAACATAACCGATGTTAGCCAGCAAACGGTTTGAACTCACCATTTTCAGCTGCTAAATCATTTAGTGTGTGATACAGCGTTTATGCTGTTTCCAGTCATCCAATCAAATTAAAGGGATTTGCATTTGAGGCTGACTACTTGTTTGTGATTGGACAAGGTATTTTATTTTCCCTAAGCTCCTCCCATTCAGAATTAAGTGGGTACCTGGTAGGTTCGAGATTCTAATGCGCTGATTACAAGCTGCAATATTATAGATTACTCCACTAGGGAGCTAAAGTATGAGTTACATAGCCGTTTGATCTGATGATCGGAGTCATGAGAGCGCATAAAGTTTGTGGCATGGTGCGCTGTAAAACTGACTTATATTATTTGTTATTTTTTTTAGTTGTAATTTAATATCAATGGATAAAAATATTCGCATAAAATGAATACAATAATATTTAAAATTCCTTGATATTGGTATTGTTAAGTATTATTTTGATACCACGTTTTGATTGCCATTTCTTATGCTGTGATTTTTAGAGTCAATTGCTGGTTAATGTGGCTTTTCTTGGAATGTTTAAAACGGGGATATAGGAGAGTGTTCACAGTACATTGCAATTTATATGATATTAATTAAAAGCAATTATTTTGATGAGGAAAGAACCCCCAAAACCTAGATGCTATTACTAGTCTGTGAGCCTATTGCAAAGATTAACAAAACTAGATTGTTTAACAAATTAACACAATGATAAAACTATTAGAAATTTCAATAACATAATATTATTATTACATGAAATTGTAATTAAGTCTTGTTTAGATGTACAGTAGTTAATTAATTAACTATTAATTATATCTGTACCAGACAATGCTGTCAGGAGTTGGTGTCACCTTAACTCTATTTGTAGATGTCTTTTTGTATGAGTTAAATACAGTATACATTTTTATTTTGTAAGTTATAAAGCTCAGTGGGTTTTCATAACTAACTGGCAAGTGCCATTTGCAGATGGTATGCGACAATTACAATATGTTGTCATTGACAGTATTATTTCCATGTGATATTTGTGATGTCTTGCTTATAATATCATGTAACAATTGTTTACATTGTTATTGACATATGATTGTGATATCACGAATGTAAAATTATTTGACAATTGATTTTCATCATAATGTCATTTTAAATACACCTTGCGACAGATGTGATGTTACGTTTGACAGTGCCAAGGAATACAGTATTGCGAAAAATATCTGACATGAATGCCATCCTTAAAATGTTGGTGTCATCACAGACGCATGGTGTCGTGATTGCAAATGTCATTGACATCATCGTATAGTACAGTGCAACTTGATCCCCTATTGTGATATCATGTGACATTTTTAATGAAAATACCATCACAATGTGACACTGATTCCAGTAAATCGATGACAGTTTTGTTAATGTACTTTGTTTTCAGGTAACATAGTCAATAAAACTTATGATAGTGATTGTGATGCCATATTTCACTTGCTATTACATTTAATATATAACAAGCTGATACCATTTGTAAATGGCCTGGTGGCCTAATACTTTCGATGCCAGTGACAAAATAGTGCAAAGTTAGTTGCACCGCTAAAATCATATTAATCCTAAATTTGCCATGTAGAAAAAATAAAGTAGGTTTATAATATTTATACAATGGTTCTGTTGATGTTTTTTTTTGTACTGGATCCACAGCATCACACTGGCATGCCATTTCCCATTCATATAGGCCTATAAATTGGGCTTTTTCGACTGGTTCATTTCGTTGTGAGTACGAATTTTCGTTGAGTATTATTTTCATTCGACTGGTTCGTAAAATAGACTTCGTTGACAACGAAAATTAAAGTAACAAGAATGCGTTAATCAGCGTTAAATATGGCCGATTATGTTTGGCTATAGCCGCTACCAGATAAGAGGCTGGTTCTGCAAACTTGAACTCCATTAAGTAGTATAGGACAATTTAACGGTTAAGAAGTCCCTAGTATTGTTGTTCACGGTAGGAGTAAGGCCCCTGATATTCGTACTTGTCACCGACTTGGCCTACGTTTAAACATACAGTAATAGGCATCACAACCTATCATCCTCATTACCTTAACATTTTAAGCGTATTCAGTGGCAGATCCAGGAATTCGAAATAGAGGGGGGGGGGGGCCCAGAGAGGTAGGCCTACTTTCACAAATATAGGGTCAACCCATCTCAGCCTTATCACATGGTAGGGGCTGAGGTAAGAAAATGTATGATGGTCGGAAATGGAATTAAATTTGAATATCATTTACTTTTTTTCTTAATGTTTGTTATAATTTTTAAAACATTTAGGACCCCGGCCGGCAGGCATTGGTATAGCCATATTCATTGAAGTTTATAATCAAATTGACATTTTTGCGTTAATTGTATAGTAAAATTGTATCATTTAAAAATCAGTCATTAGGCAATTTTATCTGAAGAGTGTCACACCATGTGTGTGGTACGAAACTAAGTAGTAATAAAATGTCTAATCAAAGCTACTGTTGAACCTCGCTTTTTATTCATTTATATATATATATATATATATATAGGCCAAAATTAAGGATCAAAAACTACTTACACATCAGGTTTAATATGTCAGGCATGCTTTGAAAGAAGGGGAGGCGAAGAAAACCCCAAAAAGAACATTAGTATTCCTACATTTGAAAAATGTAGGGCGGTACCAACCAATGAACATCTGTAAGGTCTAAAGCTTAAAGGGACACCTTACCCACGTGATAGTGGATATCGCGCGCTGCTAATAATGTTCTGTTTAATGATGTCATTTTAATACGCTGTATCCTTGGAAATACGTATACACAAGCGGCATACTTCAGACTACCTCCGGACCTCGGACTGTCAGTGTCAACACCTATTTTTGCGAAGTGAAAATAGTATTTCATTTTACAATAATGTGTATAGCAACTTGATTTACCGAGTCGTTTGAATTTTTTTAGGTTTGCTCAAAATAATTTGAGGGCCTATTTCGTAAATATTAAGATAATTTATCATCATTAAAACCCATGTGCAAATACTGTTGTTGTATCCGTCCCCGCCTGCCAGCATGGCTTCGCAGAAATAACAATAGAAATACCGGTAAGTTCAAATAACTGAAGTAATGACAGAAATGTACTACAGTAAAACTTAGTTTGTAATTAGTTTGTTTGTTTCTAATTAAAATGTTTTGAAATTTTAACAGTTTTGGACAATTCTCCGGAGTTTACTTTCATAAAATACTTCCTGCTAGCTTTAGGACTAGGCCTAGGATAAGGCCAAAACATAACCTAAATAACGTGTAAAAGAAATAAATCGATTTTATGTTTTATCATAAAAATAATATTACAAATTTACAATATTATGCCAGTAAATCATGTGTAAAATTAGATTAGAATAATATATTTTGTACTCGTTTTTTGGTCAAAATATGTAGTTGCTATGGCTTTGTTTGTTTTGTTTAACTGTAACCAAGACAACTTGCTGTAACCGTGGATACTTGGGCACGCATGCGAATTACTGCACATACGCGTTGCCCGTACGACGCTAGAATGTTAGAAGTAGACTTAAATTCTGAACATTGTAAAGTATTTGCTGAGGCGTGATCGACGGTGGTGACAATAGAACGACTGGATAATCGAATGTAACGCGCGCACCAATCTCTAACCACGAACATTTTATAACATTTGACGCATCACACTCTTATTGGTGGAAACGGTGTGCGCGCAGAATTTGCACAACCAATGGTTAACTCTCTTTACTATGTATTTCACGTGGACATTTTTAGCTCCATTTGACTAGGTGTACTGATAAAGTCGCTAGAAGGTTGTACACCAGGTCGGCTAACGGTCCAAAAAAGACTGTATTTGTAGTTGTTCTTTAAAATTTACATATCTCCAAAAAGAATTCTGAATGGTGAAATTTTTCTTTTCTTTAATGGAAATAATTAGACCGTTTTGCTAAGCCCCGCCCAATTGGATATTGTTGCTAAGGTCAATTCCATTGTGCAGCTAAGACGTCACATATTGTACTCTCTAACACAACAAGAAGTTTTTGAAATAAAAATGTTCAATAACACACGGTTTTTGTGGGTTTTTTCGTTGCTCTGTTAGGTTTAATAACATCTTGAATTTTTTCATATTTTACTACGATATCAGACTGACTTACTGTACTTTGATAAAAGTACTTTGATATTATAATAAATAGGCCTATATATTAATAATAATAATAATAATTATTATTATTATTATTATTATTGTTATCTTTAAAGTAATATTATTGTTAGAGTGAGTATGTATGTTGTAGAATATGTCGTAAATAAATGTATTACAGGGCCAAGTATAACTTAGCCTAGTTACCAGTATTTGAATATGGTGGATGAATAAATTATTTTATGTATTTATCAATCATTTTATACCAATAGTTTCCCCAGACCCAGCGGATCCTGACGATTACGCCTACGCGCCTGTACAGCGAACTGTATCTCAACAACAAGGAATCAATAGAGTAAGTCGAATTATTGTTTGAATATTCTTTATTTATAAGAATAAATTTAATAATGTGGCTTCACTTGCCAATGATATTTAATTAATCAATCTGCCAATCAATCAATCTGCCAATCAATTAATCTGCCAGTCAGTCAGTCAATTATTTAGTACATCAATCAATCAACCAATCAATCAATTAAACAATGAATCAATCAATCAGTTATTTCATCAATTATTCAAGTGAAAATTAAATTATTGAACGTTTACAAACTTTTGACAGATCAACAGAACTGCCGACAAGCAAACCTTACCTGGACACACCCATGATGCACTAGGTAAGGAACTATAACCCAAATATATTTGTTCTTAAATTACTGTAAATGAAAATGAATACATATTTTAAAGTAAGCCTAATAGGTACACCAATTAATGTACAAAATGCACCACCATTTTATTTGATTTTCACAGAAGCTAACTCTACAAAAAGCAGAAAGAATAGAAAGTCGCCAAAATCATCTCAGAAGAAATTTACACTGAAGAGCGCCTCCTCAAACAAACCCTCCACAGTACAAGGAGCTAACAAACCACTTGACCGAGTAGAGGGCAGCTCTAGGGACTTAACTCCTAAAGAAAATAACACAAAAGATATTATTAGCCAATATCCCCAACGTAATACACTCACTCCCATTGAGGAAAAAGAAAACACCTCACTCATCACCTCAGATGTCACTCCAGTAGAAGATGTCAGAATTGAGGCCATCGAAAGAAATCAAATTAATGAATTAAGAATCAAAGAATTCGCATCAACCATTGTCAAGAAGGTGTTGACAGATAGTCAACAATACCTGCTTGAGAATAGTCAAGAAACACCAATCTCCGACACCACAACAGGCAAGACATTTCTTTCTTGAATTCACTCTTTTTAACTTGAGATTCGAATATCAATTAAATTTTAAAAAATATTTCTGTTGGAGTAGTTGTTAACTATAATTGTGTCTACAATCAGTGAATTTTCGGAAAACCCAAATCCTACTTACTTTCTATGTAACTCTTCAATCTTCATCAGCAAACACCACAGTCATCAAACCAGTAGATGATATCGTAATGGAGGTCATAATTTAAAATAACGTTATGGAGGCCATAATTAAATTAAAATAATAATAATAATAATTATTATTATTATTATTATTATTATTATTATTATTATTATTATTATTATTATAATCCTACCAGATATTATCCAAAATGCGTCCACCAAAGCCGTTATCACTTCAGTTGAGGACCAACAAGTCTCCTCATCAGTCAACATCACAGTCATCCAACCCGTAGATGATGTCAAAATGGAGGCAATCGAAACCGGAAATCCAAGTGATGAACTTCTCGAAGAAATGGCATCCGCCTTGGTTAAGGACATCTTGTCTAAGGCGTTGGCACAGACTCAACAAGAGCTCCTAGTTAGTGATCAAGAAACACCAATCAGCGACACCTCAATAGGTAAGAAATCTATCATTATACTGTAATAGATAATGATGATGATACTGTACAATAATATTTATAATTTATAATGATAATAATGATAAAATAATTATAAATCCTACCAGAATATACTATCCACAATGAAGCCACTGAAGCCATTATTACTCCAGTTGAGGCACCACGAGACTCTTCATCAACAAACACCACAGTCATCCAACCAGTAGATGATATCAAAATGGAGGCCATCGAAAACGAAATTCCAAGTGATGAAAGTCTTGAAGAAATGGCATCGACCTTGGTTAAGAACACCTTGTCTAAGGCGTTGGCACAGACTCAAAAAGAGCTCCTTGTGGGTAACCAAGAAACACCAATCAGCGACTCCACAATAGGTGAGAAATCTATTATTAAAATAGATGATGATGATAATAATGTACAATAGTATTTATAATTTAAAATGTTAATAATAATAATAATAATAATAATTTATAATCCCACCAGATATTATCCACAATGAAGTCACCGAAGCCATTATCACTCCATTCAAGTACCAACAAGTCTCCTCATCAGTCAACACCACAGTCATCCAACCAGTAGATGATGTCAAAATGGAGGCCATCGAAGCTGGAAATCCAAGTGATGAACGTCTTGAAGAAATGGCATCTGCCTTTGTTAAGGACATCTTGTCTAAGGCGTT